AGTTTGTGTGTTGATTCTCAGTGGGTTTAGTAGTAGTACAAACAAAATGTGGCCTTAATGGATCTTAACCTGGAGCTGTAGAGTGAAGCTTAACTCTTGTTGCTATTGTTACCTTACTTAGCATGGACACTGAATTAGATCAGTAGTTAAATTGTTTGCACCTGTCAGCCAATCAGAAACAAGCATTTTCTGAGTAAAATATGTTGTTATATAATCTCTGTTTTACTCTTTGCTCCATACTTGCCTTTCATTCCCTTGTAAATATAATGCACTTCCTTGTGGGAAAGAGTTTCTCGCTTGTCACATCCTCTTCCTTCTACACACACACACAGAGCAGTGGAACCTACTATGAATCCCCTTTATTAGTAATGTTTGAAATCACTGAATAAACTCACTTTTCAAATAGGACAAATTACCAAAGACACACAAATTGTAGTCCAACAGTCATTCTGTATGCCAGTAATCCTCGTGTTGGTGCACATCAATCACTGTCAACAAATCATGTTTCATAACTTACATAACTGTAACAGCTGTTGTACATTTTACTCCATTACATTTATTTTTACTTTACTTTGCAGAATCACATTTTAGATACAACTGTACAGTCTAATGCGATCCAATACAACTGTTCTGTAAAAGTCAAAAGGCCTTGTGTAGAGTAGAGCCAGTGTTTGGTTTACTGTAGTAAGTAGCGGTTCAACATGGCGGGCTCCTCCATAGATAAAAAGAGTTCATTTCTAAGGTTAAAAAACCCCACAATGATTCTTTTTTCCAGGTGATTATACACAAATTAAAACATACCTATGAATATTATATTCTATTTCTGCCAATAGATCCTCCTAAATGTTACACACTGGACCTTTAAATTTAAAAATAGTGATATAATTAAACCACTAAAAATGTTTCACCATTCAGGTGCGACATTTTGTCAATTATATTAATCACATAACACACAGCACATAGCTACAGTTTCATTAATCACAGCTCACTGCTACTGTCAAGTTGTTCCTAGCAGTTGTCTTATTCTCCAAACTTGAAAAGAAAATTTCAACACACGCACACACACACACACACACACACACACACACACACACAGACACACGAGCTGGACCACCCCGCCCCGGTCCCGCCCAGCGGCCCGACCCCATGGAGAACAGACAGACAGCGGATCATGTGACAGCAACAGTTTCTTAAACGACAAAAAACACAGAGAGAGGCACAGAGAGAGAGAGAGAGAGAGAGAGAGAGAGAGAGAGAGAGAGAGAGAGAGAGAGAGAGAGAGAGAGAGAGAGAGAGAGAGAGACTTTCGTAACTTAGGGAAGTTTTGTGGAGCCATCGATCAGTGGACAGTCTTGTTTTCTGAGCCTGATGTCAGTGACACAACGGAGAGCTGAGCGTCGCCTGCGTCACTTTTTCTGCGGAGTTGCCTCACTGAGTTTCTCACCGAAAGGGAGCCTTTTTTTTTGCCGTTCAGCAAGGCAGCTGTGAAACTATACCGACTCCCCATCCAGGAATAGACTGCGTATTCCTCCATCTGAGTCAAGTAAGTCTTGTCTTGCTCCGAGTCGTGGGACTTTACACAGTGTGTTTGATACGGTGACCCCGGCACACTGATCTTATTTCCTATCGGATGTGCTGTGGTAAAGCCTGTAATTGCTGCGGGGTCTTTTTTTTATAAGAAAAAAAGGTTGGATGTGGTCGTAGTGTTATGTGTTAAAGCAAACTCTATTATGGGAAAGGGAAGAAGTCCATAAATTCAGGGTTGTGGGGTTTTTAGAATGAGATCAAGCTGCTGTCTGATGAATTAGACTAATTAGTTAATTACTTCAAGGTGGTTTTTTATGGTAGTTTCTTGATTTTGTTTGTTAAATCAATATTTTTGCATATTTCACGTTGTTAAATTAAAGGAAAGTACAAAATGTATTTATTGGTCTGATGACTAATGATCTCAACGCTGGCTGATAACTGATGTAACCCCACAGTAGGGCAGCAGATCCAATGGTAATTATAGCCTTTAGAGCCTTTTATAGAACAGAGTTAAATGATATTAAAATAAAATAAGTGGTGAAGTACAGGCTTGAGAAAGAGGGACCTTCTTATGTGTCTCCCTCTGTGTAGTTAGTTCCTCTCTTTTTCTTTAATGACATTTAACAATAGATGTGATTTTTAATCTGGATTAAGATGGTTTTGATATAGAGATTAATACGCATATTAAAATGTGTGTGATGTGTTAGGACTCAGAAGAGAGACTTTGTTAAATGCCAAGAAAACTGTAAAAAAAAAAAAAAAAAGTGCCTTATTTTGTCCAAAATCTAAAAATAATCAGTTTAAAATAAGAAAAACCACAATTAAATTGAGCACATTTTCATTTTTGTTTGATTAAACAACTTAAACATTTAATTAATTATCAGAATTGTTGCTGATTTTCTGTCATTCAAATCATTGACATGAGTTGATTGATTGCTTCGGCTGTAGATCGTATTGACAGGTCAGTAAAGGC